CTTTTTATCTAAGGAGATTTCATCATTGTCACTTATATGGCTGCTATCCTCAGTGCAACCTTGTTGGTTCGATTGTCCTGACGGAGCTCCAGGTTGTGAGAAGACTGACAAGATTTGCTTATGGTTGAAATGGAGATAATTTATGATTGGTGATCTTTTGGTTTTTTTCTTGAGATTGACCCCAAACTTGAAGATAGGGACGAAAGTCTGGTGGTCATTGAGGTCACAAGGACTAATTACCCTCAATCCGATTAGTGTCCATAGTCTGTATCTTAAGTATCAGTTTACCATCGTTCAGATTAGGTACATTTTTATCTCCCTATTGGCTAGACTTTGTCCCCCCCCCCCACTATCCTTTATCGAAGCCACTGTTGCCAATAAAATATCTTAATTCTAAAATAGGGAAGGTAGAATTCCACGTTGTCTATAAATTATTCAAGTCACGGCGCGTTAAATAACACGGTTTGGTTTTACAAAATCGAGTTATGGGTGAAAAATCAATAATTGATAATTCGGTGTACCTGGAATGAAGCTTGAAGTCAAGTATACCTATCAGCTGTGAGAAGGAAAGAGCTGATAAAGTTGGCGTTAATTTTTGGCAAGGGTTGTTATTTTAAGTGATAACACGTGAACCCCCCCACTCTCTCTCTCTCTCTCTCTCTCTCGGTATTGTGTACAAATAGGATGTACTCGTGTATCTTTTGACGCTGACCGAATCATGTGTCTCGTTTTCTTGGGAAGTCTGAAGAAATGCACATGGTTTCACCAGACCTGTTGCTATATCATGCAATTTCGTAGCATGTGGTTCAAATCGCTTTCTCTCTCTCTCTTTCTCGCTTGCTAAAATAGGTGTTAGCTGCCTTTTCCATTAATGATCCACATAGCATTGGAATTGACTAACATTCCTTATGAATTTCTGGTGCTACCTAAAAATCTTATTAGTTTTTTGTGCATGAAGGATTGTCTTGATGATATTACTGATTATCATCTGCGTTCTTCATCGTTTAGACCCTTTTCAATAACCATGGCAAATCAGAGAATGCACACTTTTCTAATTATTTTTAACACTTAAGCACTCGGCATTAAGGTGGTTTCAAAGTTTCGGAGAATTGAGTTGAGAGGTAGGAAATTAAAATATCCCAGCAGAATCATTCACTTCCTCACCTTCTCTAAAATTCACCAGTGACAAAACGGATATTGTTGGTTCATCAAAAATTTTAATAACCCTCAGAAAGATTACGTATGCCACCAAACACGTTGCCCCTAGGAAATCGGAAGTAGGCTGAACCTGCAGCCCGTTGTGAGTACGAATTGTGGACCAACATATGCGGACTGTGGCTATTGGTTGGAACATGTTACTATAGAAGTTGGTGGTCTTTGGATCAAGATTGCCTCTTCCTTTGGTTCATATTGTATATCTTCCATACTCTTACAGATCCTTGCTTCCATTTACACCAAATTGCCTTATCTTTGGTGCAAGCTAATGTAGGACATTATTCCTACACTTGAAACTGCTAGAAGAATGCAAAAATTCGCTTACCTAGGTAACTCATAAGCTTTTATCACTCGTGTTCCATCTCTTCTCGATGACCGACTGTTAAAGAGAGCAAGTTTGAGGAATTGTCTAAACTGTTTGGCACTCGATTTGTTCCATTATAATTAATGACCGTTTTCTGGAGATCGATATTCCCCTACTTCAAATGGTTGCATAATGCAAGTCAGCACTTTAACAATGATCTCTATTTTGATTAATTCCATTTGTTAGGTTATTAATGCGCGAAAGTTGCCGGTGGTTCATAAAGATCGAAAGTTTCTGCCTTTTTTGCCTTCCTCTGGATATTCGACCTTAACCTCTGTAAGTGGCTTTGACCCCCCCCCTCCCCCACCCCCTCTTGCCTTAGAACAACATTCAACTTGCACCCCCTCCCTCCCCTTCAAGAGATGATTCATTTGCTGTGCTTAGTTTTCCCTGCCCCCTTAGTGTGCTGAATGCTAATGCTGTAGCCACGAGTGACCATGACGTCAATTGGACATTGGTTAGGTTGTTTGAACCATGGCGTGTGTGTGGGTGTGTGTGTGTGTGTGTGGGTAGCTTTTCGTGACTTGGAGTATATATATATAGCAGAACTATACTAACTGCGTGAATAATTGGTTGTCCCGTGATGACACGCTTCTAAGCTGCTAAATTTTAATAGGTAAGTTCCGATCGAAATCATTGAAAGATGAAGTGTTCACTTTCAACAACACTTGCCTTTGGGAGTAAGCCGAGATCAAAGGTTTGGAGAGTAATGGATTACGAACTTAATGCTCCAATTTTGTGGTGTTTATTTGTTGCAATTTTAACAATGAGTTTGGTTATAGCCAGGGAATATCCATGACATGCTCTGACTCCTATATTAAACCCTTTTACCACCCTGCAGTACCGTACGGTCCTCTTTCGAAATAAGCTCCATTGTGGTACTAGACGCGTGATAGAAGGCGCACTATTGGCGTTTGAAACATGTTCAATACGTGTCTATATAGCCTTTGCTTGATACTCCACCAAAACTCATCACATCGGCTGGGATCAATCTGCTGTGAGACACGTGTGGGTGTGGGGTTGGGCGCATTTTTCAAAAAAAAGAAATAATTCTGGCGTTAAGGGGTTAACACAGGATACCAAAAATCACCGACCTTAAGCGGTTCAATTTCTGAAAGTGATGTGGATATGATTGACGCCATTTCACGGTTCATTATTTGCAACAACTGGTTGATCTTGTAATGCTAATGGTGGTAGTTAACAAGTTTTAGGTGTTAAAATCAGTCTGTCGAACAGCCGGTCGCTTGAAATGCCAATGCAAGAGGATGCAACTTGAAAGGGGACTTAATTGTACCGATCTGTCCTTTTGAAGGCGCAAATGCATCGGCATGAGCAATACGTGCCTTTCTAGGCAGTTGTGACTTCGATAGTACCATAACTCTCTTCTAATTACTTTCCCCTTTTTAACTTTGGCAGATTTCAATGTTCTCGAATTAAATGGGCCAGTGATAGTGATATCTTTGAACACCATTATTTCAATCACTTTTTTTTAAATAAATTATCGGATCAACAATTGGATGAGCCAGAATTCAATATAATATAAATCATACGCTCCATTCTCCTTCTTCTTCTTCAAAAGTGATGCATGCCTATATCTTTTGTTCAATTTGAGCTTTATTTGAAAGTCGGTTGAAGGAAACTGGGAAGTAGAATTCAAATAGCTTGTTAGGGGATTTGAATAATTATTTCAAATGGCAGGCTTTATGATATTTATCATTAGCCCTTAAACTTGATACATGTATAGCAGTTAATTAATAGCAATTCATTAGCTGTCTTCTTGCTTCCCAGTATCTCTGGCTTACCGTCGTTGTCTTTAAGGCTGGACACCGAATCAGGTGGGTCTTCTCCATTTTCTCCTGTAGGTTACATAGAGGGCATGTGGGTTGAGTGTATACTCCTAATCTGTGAAGGTGTTTTGCCAAGCAATCGTGTCCGGCATCTAGTCTAAACTCAGCAACGGCTTCGATTCTCAGCCAGTCGGCTATGTCGGAGAGTGCCACGGGATTAGAATATTGGCTTCTAGTAATTTAAAGTCGTGCAAAACGTACAAATTGGCCACAAGAGTGTACATCGTTTTCTCAAATTCTTGTACAATGAAGAGAGATCTCAGCGAGGTCTGCATTTGGACGCACAGAACGCTAATATTTACCTCTGAGGGTTGAGCTCATGGAACTGCTTCTCCCCCTCGTTTACTAACACTTTTATTTATATCACATGGCAGACGTTTCGATGGTTATCATTAGCCCTTTAGTTGACTTCAGGCTTCACAGAGGGGAAGGAAAAATCAAAATGAAAAAAAAACTCGAGAGAGGAGGGGGAGGGGGTAACAAAAGAGTGCCTCAATTATGTAAACGAGACAGCCATAAAGGTAGAAAAAAAGGTGAGGTGGAAGTAGTGGAATATGACATAGAGTGGGGTGATGGTAGTTTGAAGTCAGAAGTCAACTGCCGGTTGGTAGACTTTTTTGCCGTGGAGGTAAGTCTATCGTACCCCTCCTTCCTAATGTAACCTTTACACTACTCCGAAAAAATGTCCTCATTATATTTGCACTTGGGGAGATGCGAGGTGGGGTGGACTGTATATTTTGCTTAAACCCCATCTATAAATGCAGCACATAATGGCGATGTTCCAGCTTTGTCGTTTTATATTTCGATAAACATCGCTCATTTGCGTATATGCTAATGTGATCTGCATTTGTTTAACTTGGAATTATTATTGTACACTGATCCCATGGAGAATTGTGTAGATTACTCGGATATTCCGTAAATAATAACTCAATAGGGTATTTTTGTTGTTAATGTTATATTTGATAGTTTGAAAGCGCCTTATTTTGTTACGCCATTTCTATGACAACCTTAAACGCTATTTCGTTTTTGTACGGTTTGTCATCTAACAGAATTGCGATTGGTAAAGTAAAGATTGTTTTGAATGATTTGTCTTCAACTCTGATCGGTTCATTAACGCTATCTTTCTCCCCTCCACACATCGAAATATTTTAATAATCTATTAAAAGGTCATGAAATCGACTAGTTGACTAAGTTACTTGGAACTTCAAAGCCACAGTCATTTTCAGCGCTATTTTTGATTTTTTTGAGCTCTGGATTTGAAGTAGACAAGTGATTTATAGGAAGCGAAAGAATGTACGTACATCGGTTTCATTAAACCTACAGTTAGGTAAAGTTCATTGGATTTGGTGTGATCGAGAATGGTCCCATGCTGATCACTTAGATCACTGTAAGTTTGATACGTCGTCTACTTCGTTGGTAGATCTCGTCTTTTGCTTGCTGTTACTGCATATGCAGCTAATTGTTTCCAGACTAGATATCTCTTTCAAATTAAACCAATCGTCATATCGAAGTTTCTACTTTTCCTTATTTTCCAAACCTCCTAACAATCCTCCTACTTAGACATAGTGTTCTATATGCCTTTAAAGTGCAAATCAAGCGATCGCTTTTCTCTCTTTCAGCCCTGTCGAGTGGACTATGAGTTGAAGGTCTTCGTGGTGGATGAAGATGGATCCAGAGCACAAAAACGGTTAGTGTTTATTTAATCTATTTAACGTTTCCTTGGAATTATTTGTTACGTGATGCCGTACAAAGCTGGTCATGTTTTGGTGTGCGTGTGATAGGGGTGCTGGAGGATTTGAGAAAAACGGAGACGAAAAATTGTTTTTTGCCTTAAGGTCGTTAAAAACGCATTTCAGTTCGTTCGATGTCCTTAAAAGGGGTTACTGTAACGAATCTTCACGATGCATTACTTTACCTTTATACAATCACAGTTTTCTACAAGGAAATTGTAAGGCCACAGAGTTGAGGAGAAAGAGGCAATTTGCGGTTCAAACGACCGTTTTATATTAAGAAAGTGGATTTGCTTGTACACAGGCGTGTGTAAATGATAAAGAATTGGCTGCTTAGTTGGCCAATGATTCCATTGACGCCATCTCTACAGGCATGTGGTTTGGAATCCGATAATCGACAATCTATTGCGTAAAATAAGAAAATGCTGATTTTCTCTCTCGAGTACAATTGAAATATCCCTTTAGACTTCCTATTAAATTTTTTTAATATTTTCATTGCAGTGACACATCTGTCTTTTGGGGGGTATTGTATCTTATTCCATTTTCCCCTTCAATCCCGGGGAGTCTCTCATCTTCCACTTGATCATATTCAAACAGCTTGTTTTTCAGGCATTCCTCCCACCGCAGTCTTCTTCCTTCCCCCCCCCCCATTTAATAGTATTTTTTTTCATTTTTTTGTTCATTCTCTTCAAATAGTCATCCATTAGTGTTCTAATACTGTATCTTGTTGATTCCATGTCACCAACTGGGTAATCTAATCCACCTACTGAAGTACCGGGGGGGGGGCTCTTGTGAGTACAGACAAGTGAATTAATATAATATATTTTTTTGCTTAAAAGTCGTAAATGAAGATTGTAATACGTGGCAAACATTGTGCTGAACATTCAATAGTTCTCAGCAAGTGCTGAAAGTGCTCACCATGAACTTCGAAACACAACTCATCGGGTTTCTTTTTTATTTTGGTCACACTGTATGGTAGGGGTAAGAAGGTAGTCCAGAGTTGAAAGAAAAAAAGCCTTATAATTTATCGTCATTACTATTCATGAAATTGATTAAGAGCGTCTGGTTTGTTAATAAAATAATAGTGGAATTGATTCAGTCTCCGAGACACGAACTGAGAAGTCGAATAGCGGAGTTCATGCAGTCGATGGCTTCATGGTTGCACATACCCTTGAATGCAGTGATCATTTCATGTCGATAGAGAATTCGAGCACTCTTTTACTTCCTAAATACGTCACCTCCATAGGCTACTTCTTCTCCTCCTCTTGATTGGTGTCTTTCACTTTTTTTTCTTCTCTGTGTTTGTTTACGTGATTTACTTTTTTGCCCTGTTTATGGAGAGGGCGTTTTTTACATCAAGGTATATTAATTACCTCATACACATGGGTTTTTCTCTTATTTCTTATGATAATTGGAAATATGGTGGACTAGTTTTAATTTTGGCCAAGTAATCAAACTTTTTATTGATACTTGCCCTTGTGCGTTTATAATTGGTTCAAGTAGGGTGTGGGTTGGAATGGTACTGTAACAACTGCCATTATTGCTATGACTTGTGCTACCTACGCAGCTCTTATCATGCCAATGAGTGTTGCCACCCAATTTTTATTAACTTTGGCTATTCCACATGCACAGTTTATTTTCTTGTTTCAAACGGAGTGGAGGCGGCTTTTGCGGTACGCAATTGTGTAAATACAGTTAACATTGTAAAGTTCCATGAATATTGACATCTAGTGCCATTTGTTGTTGTAACTTCACCTACTTTCGAATGGCGTTTCTTCTTAAAGTTAGTTTAAATGAATCTCGTAGCATATTGGAAGCATGCATCTGACAAATCTCACTGTTTGTCAGATTTATAATAAATCCGTGCAACTCAAATCTAATCATTTTTTGTTTGAAGGATACTTAAAGTTGCCTTTTGGCTCTTATTAAAGCTATAATAGGAAAAGTGCTCTCTGGGGTATTATTAAAGCTGCCATTACCCTCCTATATAAATACTTATTCCACTTTTTTGAAATTATTTTTTTTAAAACGGTGAGCTTGCCAAGTGGGTGGGGGGAGGAATTTGTGTGGGCATTAACTCGAGTCCTGCTAAGCGGAAAATATTGCAACGTGAGCTCTCTTCGTTCATATGAAGTTCCTCAAACACTTTTATCACACTCTTGTTCTCATGGTTTCAATAGCATTGAATTTTGAATTTCCGTAAGACTACTCAAATTGCCTTCTCAGCTACAACCGCATCGGCCGCAAGTCAAACCTACCGATTAATGTGTGTCCTTGTGTGTTTGTTTAACTATATTTTTTATCCATTAATTGTGGGATAGCATTGCGGAATAATTAATTGAGAGAAGCAATCGGACTCGATTAACAAGGGGTGGGATGAGTATTAAAGAGGAGATGATATGAAAGGTGTAGAAATTGTCTCCAAGATATGGAAGAGTCAGCTTTCATATGTTGTTTTATTGAAATTGGATTGTGCAGTATTTTCCAGATGGTTGTTTTACATTCCAAAGTTCAAATTTAACGAATTGTTACTTGGATTGCTTCGAGTGGCTTTCTCAATGTCGTTCCAATCCTCATCGACTGGAATGGTGTAATCAAGAAGTGCCAATATTGTTGTTTGTATCAGTTCCTCCTCTTCTTCTTCCCCTTCCTATGGATGAGGAGTCGGGTTGCCTTACATGACACTTGGGTTCAAAATTTTACTATCTTTCGTGTTTGCTGATCGTTTTACCTATGCTATTTCCTCTATTAAGTAAGCTATACAGTGTGGCAACAAATAAACAATGATTTTATAGACCTTCACCAGAAAACCAATGAATTCTGTTCTAATTCTTTTCAATTGTTGAGGAAGCACTATGTTTGCCTGCGGTTCGTTTGTGTACAGTTTTAGCCTAATTATAAAGAGATAGCTAAAATGTTTGAGTTAACAGAGCTCTGTAAGCTGTTTTCAGTATTCTAGAAAAAAGAACGAATCTGTTAAAAAAATTTTTATTTTACAAACACTGCTCCGTTTCTCTCATGCATTCCTAAAGCATAGTTTATCTTGCCCACCAAGTTAGAAGTTCTCATTAGTAGAGCTCTAAATGTGCTAGTAGCAATCATTTTCTCCGAGTTGAGTACTAAGAATGGGGAGCCTATTTCCCAACATTAAATTACTAATTTAATGATAATTAATTGTTAAATGAAATGCAATTCTCAGCCCTATTGACAAATGGCGCTGAAATACTGATCTGGCTTTAGTCGTGAGAACTCGATTGATAGCAAATTGTAGTTTTATGTTGTTAGTATACCCTTACAGAATACAGTAAAAGTTTGTTATAGAATTGACTATTTAGTATATTACGAAGTTCTAGTACCTACACTAGAGTCAATAGTGAATAAGCTCTTTTGAAGGTGTGTACTTTGAGTACAACTGATGAGGTTGTTACAAAAAAGACTTTGAAATTTGGCTTCTTAACCCCCCCCCCGTTCAAAGTCATTTTTCACCAACTTCCAAAAGTAACATGTTCACTCTTGAAATACAGGGTTTCGGATGCCTTCTTCCTTCGTCATCTCGAAAGGTAGGACTTGCAACCAAGTAGTTTCTAATCTGTCTTCACATTCCATTAGATCTGCTAAATTTACCGTTATACGATGATTTTTTTACCTCATTGCCTCCATTGGGTATTTTTTCAGATGCGATCTAATGTATTATCAGGAAATGTAAGTTCTTGGTTGAGCGTAGTAATTAGTACACATAGAATTTACTGTTTACTAGATTTTTTTGCAATGAAAATTTAAATGCCGCCCAAAAGCTCCAAGGTCGTGGCGGTGGTGGTGGTGGTATTCCTTGCAATGGAAAACTCAATTGTCTTTTCTCTTTACTTTTGCAGCAACTCCGTCCGGATGATCGTCCGAAAGTTGACCTTCGCTCCCGACGAGGCAGGACCCCAGCCAACTGCCGAGGTGGTTCGTGACTTTCTCATGAGCCTTGGCAGTCTGCGTGTTGAAGCCTCCCTTGATAAACAGGTCTGCATTTTTTCGTGTATGCTTTAGTCGAATATGTTTTTTTATCGGGGGCGTTGTTTGATGTCTACTCTCTATTGTTGTGGGGGTTGTCATTCAGGTCTTTTGTTGCTAATTCCGAACAATACGACATTATTAACCTAGGTCGCCCTATCTTTTTTCCTTAACAACTTAAGCACCGTTTTTGTTGATCCGTTTATTTGTCGAGGCACTCACAGTTTTGTCGTTGTTACTGAAAACTCGGCTTTTTCAAGATTTCTCTAATCTTTTAGGATTTCATGACAAAATGGGTTTGGTGGTTCGGATGTTTATTTAGATAGTTATCATTAGCCCTTTAGCTGACTTTGGGCTTCCCAGAGAGGAGGATTAATATCCAAGTGACAAAAAGTTGAGAGACGGGACAGATCAATGATTCATGGACGTAAAAGATACGGACAGACAGACAAAAAGTCAGAGAAAAGAAAAGATTAGTACTGGGAAAGTGGTGAAATATGGCATCCAGTGGGGTCCTGGTAGTTTGGAGTCAAAAGTCAACTGCCAGTTAATAGACAATTTTGCCGTATGAGTATACGTTGCCCAGGGTGCACCACGTGGAGGTAGGTCTATCGTCAACCCCGGGTTATGAATGTAATTAATTGCAAATGCGCGTCTATTAAATTAAGTGGGGGGGGGGGTGGTTATAAAATTCGTGTTTGTCGATGCGTACCTAATGTTGTGGACCACCCATCATACTGGTTCATTCTGAGTAATTGAATGGCTTTTCTCTCTCTGAGGCCTTTCCTTTTCTCAAATTGAGTGCTTCCTTCATGCAAATTGGTTGGAGAAGTATTAGTAGTGTGTTCATAGGAGTGAAATTGGGTAAGCTTGGCTTAGTTCCGAAATCACTTCATAGTGATTCACTTGCTAAAATCAAATTTCACATCAAGGGGGTGGGGTGGGGTGGGGTGCAATTTGTCTTCACGGTGTGTTTGTTTAAATCAAGCGAATTCACGTGTTGTACATTCTTGGCGTGTGCCAATTGCTTCAATAGTTTTTGTGAATCTTTTCTTTTATCTCTACACAAGTCTTCCTCAAAGCCGTGGCGGCTTATCGAAATCAAATTTTCTCTATTTATCTACCATTTTCACGCGTTATTGTTGGTGTTAGAGTGTCCTATCATCTTCGCTATTCCAAATGAATGGAACTGTTAGATCAGGTACTTCAGACAGACTCCTCTGACATTTATTTTCGGATCACTTTGTTCATTTTCAGTAGATGCCCTGTGGGCTCTTGACTATTTAAAATCCTCCTTGATTACTTTGATCCTGAATGTGTACCCTCTTCTGATTCAGATATTGCAATTTCGAATTATTCAGTTGACTCTAGCTGTTTTATCTCCAAAGTATATGGCCTATTTAAATGTTGTCACGAGGAGACTGCCATAGTTTATGCAGTTTGCTGATTTTGTAGTCAACTTTGAAGGAATTATTTTAAGGACAGATCTGTCAGCGTTCCTCCATCGTATGACGATTTAATGACTTCTGGTTGACAAGTCTTGGTGTCCGTTTGTTTAGCTTGATGGCAATGATTAAGGGAGGGGAGGGGTGGGGGGGGGGGGGGGGGGGGGGGGGTCTTTATGTTGCCGTTTAGCCCAGACATAATAAAAATTCATTGTTTATTTTCTTGCCTATGTAGAAATACTTCCACGGTGAATCAATAGTCGTGAATGTGTTGGTGGACAATAACTCAACCAAGACTGTTAAGAAAATCAAGTTAATTGGTGAGTGAGAGACAAACTTTTGCTGAAAATCTTAAATATATCTATATATACACTTTAAGCTACTTACTTCTGTTTAGATTTCTTCTAGATTTTGATCGGCGAATTTGCCCATTTTTTAAATTTCCAACTAACTTTTCAGTTTGCAACGAATAATTAAAGATGAAATCATGACAGTCATTTTATATTTTGCTTATTCCACCTGATTCGGTGTCCAGCCCTAAAGACAAGGACGGAAAGCCAAAGATACTGGGAAGCAAGAAGACAGCTAATGAATTACTATTAATTAACTGCTATAAATGTACCCCCCCCCTCTTGGGGGAAGCTGAAGTCAAAGATTAAGGGCTAATGATAAATATCATAAAGCCTGCCATTTGAAATAATAATAATAATATTCTTATTTTAGTGGAGTTCTAGGGTATTATCTCTCCACTTCCTACGGCGTGGAGAAACGGTAGCAGTTGTCTATAGTGAGAGTGAACAATGGCCACGGCGTCTGCTTTAAAAGCGCCCAAGCTGAAACTTGCACCCAACTGACGGGGTACAGTATAGTTCAACACACAGAAACTAAGTAGCTCAGAAATCAATAAAGAGTTTAAAGGTCAAGGGTGTTTTTTATCACTCACTACAGCATGAAGGTTGCAAAGCCATTGGAGTGAAGTCGCTAAGCGAAAATCAGGTTAGTATGGTGTATGGTGACTGTTCGGAAATGCCATTCCTCTACTTACTAACTTTTTGTCTACTTCTTTTCCTACATCTGTTTACTCGAAAAATCTTTGAATTCATTTTTTCATTGTTTATTTGAACGTTTGAGTGTGTGTGTGTGTGTGTGTGTTTGGGTTGGTGTGCGGAATTTGCAATTAGACTGTTCTCTTCTCGCCTGGGGCCAATGAACTTTCCTGCGCGTTCATCATTTTATTGCGCCTGGGTCTACAACTTTTACATTCTGATTTTTATTGTCCGTAATTAACCTCAGCGCGCG